GAAAAGTACGTGAAACCCCAGCGTCCGCGGCAAATCCTCGCGACTTGGAGACTAGAACACAGCGTCTACATGGGGATTGGCATCTGCTGAGTGTGAGATACCCGCTACGTTCGTACTGAAATTTCGCTCCAGCTTCTCCAGTTTCAGGCGTTTCGAATGATCCCAGGTTGTGTCATGCTTGGTTTGTGTGTGGAGGACTCGTCGTGAAGAAGGGCTCGCCCTGAGTTGGACGGCGACACAAGAAGCGAAGCCAGAGATCAGAAATTTGACGCCCACGGCCGGTACGGCCGTCTGTTGCAGCATTCAAAGCACGTCACCAGCTCTGGATTGTGCAATCTTCTGCGGCTTTTGCGGATCAATTTCTGTAGGGGCTCGAAGATGTCCTTTTCCCGGCTAGGCCTTCTGCACCCGGTGAAAACAGATGGCCAGTTGCCAAAGTTTCGACTGCTCAGGATGACAGGGCAGGCGGGTCAGGTGCAGCACCGCCAAGCGCGTCGTGGCTGCACTGCTCCGTTTGCGAGGTTTCAGGTTGCTTTGAGCTCCTCCGTCCCCAATCCTCCCCCCTCGGACAGTGGGGGAACGTCGGATCAGATACCGACGGGAGCATGCACAACTGAGGTCAGGGTACTGAAGTTAGCGGCTTCCACCACGTAGACGCATTTAATACCAATAGGCAGTAGTAGTACTGCTCAGGAACCAAACAGAAATCGGACCACGGAAGCCAACTCCAAGCCAAAAAACACAACCCCCAGTGGCTCTGGCCACCAAATTTGTTAGTACCCTGGTGCCTTTCTCTGTGGTTTAGATTGTGGCTGCTATTACGGTGAATGGTGGTGACATTAGACAAGATTGGCGAGGCGAACTCTGTAAATTCGAGAGCCACTGCTCAGGGTGCACTGCGCCTCCGGACAAGGCCATTGTTTTTGTTGAGCATGTTAACATGTGCAGACGCACGTTCCATGCAGTGTAGCCCCAGTTTTTCTTTTTCTTTCCAGGGTCCTGGGCATGGCAGATGACGAAAGCTCTGCAGGCGGGGCTGGGCTCCAAGATTTTGGGACATGTGGGATTTGAAGCGTCTGCAGAAGTTGCAGGCCCCGAGAGCGAAGTCTCCTCCAACGGCGAAGAATTCGAACACGATGAGGTGTGTGGCAGTGGGGCCGGCGTTTCGTGTGTCGAGCCGAGCAGCAAGTCTTCCAGTGTAGACATGCCAAGCACTCGTCCGATGATTTTGCAGGCTGTCGACGGCCGCCGGCAGGCACGAATGCTGCTAAAAGTTCTCACTCGCTTGGAGGGCCACTCGCCTTTGATCGAAGAGACTCGGTTTCCCAATCGCCAAACGGCCCAGACAAACTAGCCTGGAATAAGGATCGGTCCTGCAGCCTGGATGCAGAGAGCATTGTGCTGTGCTTGTCTCGTGCCTGTGTGCAGGGACAAGAGCTCGTTCGGCTAAGTCGGGACCAGGGGGGTGGTTCCTGGAGGAGAAGAAACTGACTCGCACTTGAGTGTCGAAGCCAGAAACTAGCTCGGCCGGTTGTTTTCGGCAAGGAGAAGGAGAACTCTCTCCTGAATCCATAGAAATCATAGAAACTAAGCTTCTTTTTTCTGAATGGCTAGTTTCGAACCCAGAAAGAAACTCGGTGAGAACGAATCCGTTTCTGCGAGTTTTGGCAGGGAGAAACGACGACGACCCACCAACGACGACGACGACGGCGACGACGAGGAGGACGACACGTTGCAACATGTGGCGTATGAGATGATAAGCTCCTTTCTGTCTTCTTATCCTCGGTTTTGGTGGTGAGAATCTCAATGATCTTTGGCAGTTCATTCCTCCCGTTCGACTACACTGAAAACGTGAGCGATTTTTGTCGTAAGTGTTCGCTGGTGGGATTGATGTTTGCGCATGCGCCTTGGTATTTTGATTCAATTTAACAACCCGCCTCTCCGCCACAACAGCGACGACGAGAAGCAAACTCCGAATCCCCGCCGAGCGGGGAAAACTCAACCGGCTACCAGGGTTTAGCCCGGAGAAACCAATTCCCGCCCCTGCTAACTCCTAACACCCCTGCAGCTTGTTCCTAGGAGAATTCCCCTGCCCGGAGCATGTGTTTGCACTGCTCTGCCTTTAGCAGTGCCTGCTCTGAGGAGGGCTTGGCGCAAGGCCTTTGATGTCGAGGGCGATGGCCGCATCAACGAGCCCGGCGCTGAGTGCGGTTGTGACTCCATGCATGGACACTAGCTGAAGCAGAACGGGACAGCTCACAAGCAGCTGTGCAATGAGAGTTGAGGTGCTGGCGGCAGGT